TATATATATATATATATATATATATATATGAAGATACATATGTACATATATGTAAGGGATCGGATAACAAACTTTTGTGTACACAATTCCCATTTGAGTCCAGATAAATACATATGTATATGCATTCTGCATACATGTTAATAAAATTCTAATTCGGATTTTCAAATAAAATTTAAATGTAACTGTAATTATGAATAAACCCTACGATTTTTCGCTGTGTACTTTTGCATAATGACACACACACACTCACACCCACATACGTATGTATACATATATGTATATATATTCGTTTTGTTCAATTTATTATCGCATTTGCGTTTATTATTTTGACTGCACACTGTTCACGATTATTTTAGTATATTTTTGTTTCACTATATCCAAGTAACGTATGTACCTTGCGCTTGCAGTAGTTGAGGATTGCCGATGTCGGCTCATGCTCGCCCTGCTGCTGCGTTTCATCGAGGGGGGTGCCGTTCAAGCGGTTGATGAAACAGAAAGAACTATCCCCATTATTACGATACATGATAGGCGCCGAGACAAAAGGCGTTTACACGAAACAATGACACTAATAACAATAACAATAACAGACACAGTGACAACAACAACAACACAGGCGTGCTCACTCGCACACACGCACATAACGGACGACTGGTCGTTGACGGCTGCTGATGAGAGTAACAATGACTGGAAGTGGAGCTATTGGAGCGATTGAAACGACGATCACCGGCGTTGGCGGCGCATTAACAACTGAAACGGCACGCAAACAACGGCGAGAGAACACGAGCGAATCGGAAAAACTTACGGCGAGCTCGTGTAGCCAGGATGAGACGGCGGATGTGGTGCGGCTGCACCGTAAAGCCGATGGCGAATTAATCAGCCGACTTGTTGCTCTTTTTGTCTCTGTCTTTGTTTTTGCTTCTGTTGTAGTCGTTGACGTCGTCGCTGTCGCTGTAGCCGATGGCGTAGCCGTCGCCGTTGCCGTAGTCGGCGATTTCATCAATTGCTGTTATAACGGTAAATTGAATAAATTGAAACTCGAGCCGCGCGTAGATCGAGCCGAGCGCGAGCGACAGAGAGTCGATGCCCATGTCGCCGTCAATGTCGGCGTCGAAGCTCTCCTGCTATCACGTTGAAGCTCTCCTCGAGCTTTGCTCACAGTGCGCTCACCGTGCTTGCTCTCCCGAGGGCCCCTTATCAATGGAATATATCTCGGTAACACAATGCGACGCCTGTTCTGCGCTGCTGTGCACCTGTTACAGTTTAGATAGGAATCAGCTTGTTATCGTGACCGCTATCTATCCGAGCTGAATGTGCACATACATATGTACATATATGTATATGCAAATGCAAATACAAATAAACATATGTATGTATATGTATGTATGCACATTTGTGTGAGTGCGAGCGTTTGCTATATAGAATTGCTTTTATATACATACATATGTATGTATGTATGTATGTATGTATTTTATGTTTATCTTGAAGAGTTCTCGCGATCCGTTTTTTGTTCTTGATTCGTCATGAATCAACACGGAATTTATTTATGCTATCTATATACATACATATGTACGTATGTACGCTCGCCGGCGAATACTGTAATGTCATCAGCAGCCTTACGGCAGTCGTTCGCTGCCGCTTCTACTCATGAATGTGTGCGTCTGTTGTGTAGCTTTCCGATAACCCAGAGGATCATGTATTGTTCGATGTGCTACGTTTAAAGGGGACGGCATATCGAATTGGGCTTGGATAAATGAAAAAGAAATAAAGATAAGGTTCTCAATTATATTGAATACTATCAATTTCCTAAAGTAATTAGCATATACATACATATGTACGTAATAGGAAATAGTTATCGATTTTGATTTTGAACTATTTTGGCAGAGCAAGTCCGTCGATAATGGTAGTGAATAATATTGACGAAGCGACATCCATCGTGTATTTACACACCGCACCCTCTAGTGTCTTTAAGGTAATAGTAATTAATAATTAATATGTTCATAGATAATTAAAAAATATTGATTCATATATTAACTAATAAATGAAATAATTCTCAAAATAATTAATAGTAATAATAATAAATAATAATATTTAAACAGTATGCAAAAGGTTCTCTACTTTTCCTTACAAATAAACTCTAGTTGTGACACACGTACATACCTATGTATGTACATACATATATACATACGCTAGACTTTTCATGCTTTAGTGCTGCATACATACATACATATGTATGTATGTACATATACATATGTACATACATATACAATTTAGTTTTAAAAATGCTTTTAAAACTGAAAGAGAAAAATCCAATGCAGCGGCTGGCTCAGTTGCCTTGGCCGTGACTTGATATTCAATACCGAAATTCAGTCTTGTTATCTTAAATGAAATGCGAATAACAATAACATACTAGAAAAAAAAAAAAACAAACTAAAATAAATAAATAATAAGAAGAAAGCAAAACAATTTACAAAGCGACACACAAATTCATTTGTCTCGTTTCTCCATTTAGCTGAGATTCGTGTCGAGTCGCCCTTCAGCCGATCACTAAAAGTTCTCCAATCGCTGCTGCGTGTGCAGCTTCTGCTGCTGTCGTCATGTGTGCTCCCTCCTTCCTGCCGTCAGTGCACTGGCCGCTGCGGTTGAGTGCGATGCTCGCACACGCAAGGCAATAAAGTATCGAAATGTACGATGAGAAGTAATTAAATTAAATTAAAGTCAAGTCGCAAGTTGCTTGAAACTTTTTTTCTGCGATGACGCCTCAACTGGAATTTGTTGCTGCTGTGCTGCTCGAGTTCGATTTGCATGATGGGCAGCCGCAGTCGATGCCACAGTTGACGTTGACATTTTTCAATGGCTCTGGCAATTTCCACCCGCAGAACCATCAGGCATTTCAACTGGCAGCGGCTGCTCCTCCTCCCTTTGCCAGGAGGCAGGGCAGAAGCTCTGCTGGTCGATGCTGTCATTGCCTGAACTCTGGTCACTCATGTAAATTAGCTGCGTTGTCAAATAATGCTGATTTGTTGTTGGTTCGTTGGCAGTCTAACAAAAGCAACCCATGCCAATGGTCATACTTAAACACGCCCCTTACCCACAAGCTTGACAGACCAAAAACTGTCCAGTGGCCATCGCTTGACGCATATCTCGATCCATCCCTTTGCCAGTGGGCAGTGTTCAACATGCAGCTTTCTGTTTAAAAATCAAATCAAATATTACGAGAAAATTTCAATGCGGTTAAATGCATAGCAAATTTTATCATCCACCCCCAGTCCCCTCTGTTTCTCCCTTTAACCGAAGGGGCAGGCTGGGCGGATTGAGTTGCAGCCGCAACCGCAAAAACGCAAATGTTGTCTCGACACACGTCGGGCTCGGAGCATTTGGGTTGTTCTCGGTTTGACAAATTTTGAGTGAGCGTTTCATTCCAGCGTTCCACATCAAAGCATGCTCAGAGGTACACAGGGAAGGGGAAACCTGTACAGTCGCAACGGCAATATACATATTTAATATGTGAATTCGAATTAGTTTTTGTTTATTTATTCATCATATTATAGTATACGTATGTATATATTACAAAATTTGATTGCCGTTAGAGTTTAATGTAGAAAAATAGCTAACTCAATTAGAATGTAGAAGGGTTTACCGTAAATATTATTATAAATTAGAATATAGAAAGTGTTTTTGGGCTGTCATCGGCTGATATAGACATATTCAAGGTAGACTATGTATTGTTTATATAGTTGATATTAAGCTAAATTTAACACAAGTTATTCCGTAAACTTCAAGCTCACATAAAACGTGAATTTTGTAAAAGGAAACCTATTGAAAATGGGAAATCAGGGTATAATGGTTTTGTGCAAAAGTATGTAACGGGCAGAAGGAATCATCGCAGACCCCATAAAGTATATATATTCTTGATCAGCAGTCTCGACTAGAGCCTTACTTGTTTAACTCGTAATTTGTATCTAGTAAAGCCGTAATAAATGAATACGTAAACAGTTGTGTTTGTTCGTTTTTATTTGCAGCAGTCTATTATTGTAGGAGTTTTTTAAAGTCTTTAAATTGTGGATGCCACGCCCATTGAGCACATGGGGGTCTGCTCGGGACCTCATATCTAAAAAGATCAGATTATGCAACGTGTCAAGTGTCCAAAATTCAATTAGACTTCATTAGCATTAGCAGCCGGTGGCACCTTGCTCTTCGTGTTGTTGATGGTCTTGTTGTTGTTGTATTTGATGTTGTTGCTGTTGCTCTGCATGAGGCCACCTTGTGGCTGTGGCGTGCACAGATTTAACCGTTTGCAGATTAGCATAAATGAGATCATTAAAATGCGCTTACGTTTGTGTGGGCGGGTTGAGTGCCCGTAGCCGACTGTGCTGATGGTAAGGTGGGGTGGGGAGTGGTGTATGGGATGGGTTGGCTGCAAGGTGCCATTTCCTTTAGCACGTAGCAGACGCAGCCTGCAAATTGCTTGCCAGTAAGTGTCGCTGCTGTCAAGGTTCGTGTCTTTGCTACTCCGCACACACATATACACACCCAAGCACACCCCTGCACACACACAGAATGATGTGAAATTTGCATAATTATTGTTGGCAGCTTTGGCATTAATGTTTAATATAGCAACTAGTTTAGTTTTTTTTTTATCTAATATGGCTTAATTGGGCATTACATTTCGTGTAACGAGTACCTAAACAAGCAACTGCTCCCACGCCCCACTAGGCTGGACAGGTTGGCTTACGAGCAGGTGGGGACTCGAATAGTGGACAATCAAATGGCCGCATGCATTAAAATTGAAAGTGAGTTTCAGCTATGTCTGTTTTTGCCTTGGCTTTTACTTTTGGCTGCAGTTTTGATTTGAACCCATTGAAAATGGGAAATCAAGGTATAAGGGTTTTGTTGAAGTCTATGTAACAGGCAGAAGGAGGCGTGTCAGACCCCACAAAGTATATATATACTTGATCAGGGCGACGAGCTGAGTCGATTTGGCCCTGTCCGTCCCTCTGTCCGCCCCACGAAAAGTTATTTAGTACAGTATTTAGTACATCATATTACATGTTAAATCTAATTAGATAGAATAGAAATTTCATGAGATAAAATGAGAACTACTTATGGGTAATGTAAATAATAATAATACCATTAATAATTTTTAACAACATGTCAGCTCTCCAAAGTAGAAACTAAATAAATACACAATACACAATTAACAATCTCTGCAATTTTGCGCCGTGGAATTCCATTTTGAAAGTGGTGTAGCACCAATTCCCGCTGCTATGTTGTGTTTTTTTAACAAAATCTTACTTTGAATGGTAAAAATACCTCAAATTCACATTGCGAATTTAATAATCAAAACAAAACCTGAAAAAAGTACCATTTTACGCGATTGAAAATTGATTTTGTTTTTTAAGCCTCATTGGAATACTATTAGCCGTGAAGACTTCAGATTTACTGTGTATGTACATATGATGAATACAAACATTTTGTAATCAACA